ATAAAATATATCTTGCAAATTTTTGTTTGAGCTGGAAAAGTAAAAGTTTCTGTGTTTTATCTGTCATATACTCTTACCTTCAATGTTATTTCTGTGCATTTTCATGATAATAAAACTCAGCAGCTGGTTACCACTAACTCTCAGCGTAGATGCTAAAAATACACCGTGTAGATTCTGCTGACTGGGCGATTAATATCAACATGATATCAGGTTTTTTTTAGCTTTTTTTATTTTTTTACATAGTCAAGAAGATGAGAAGATGGTATTGTAGTGGAATTGTCTATGGAACCTGGGCAAAACTCGACACACTGAAAGTCTTTGAGAGGTGGTGCACGTTACCTTTTCTATGTGGATTGTCAGTAATTATTGGTAATTATTTTGAGTATGTATTGAAAAAACAAACTAAATAGAACTTCAGTAAAAAGTTAAAGTCAATCCAATAGATATGTTATTTTTTTTCATTAGTATATTAATTAGTGTAATTAATAACGTGCAATACAATAATAAAAAAATTATTGAAAAAGAGGGACCATAATCATCTAAAATAGGAGAAATATGTATTTTCTTAGGTTGTTAATTTTGGATCCTGTAGGTCTACTATATATGCAAAAGAAGAAGGTGAAAATATCTGGATAGAAATTCGACCTGAGGTTCTCTCTTGGACTAATGTAAATTTAACTGTCCCACTCACATTATAGTCATAAATAAAATAATACTTATGTCCAGTATAGACTTTGATTTAATAAATATTCCTGAAGAACTTTTTTCCTTTCTAAATATGTTTTGTTAAAAATCAAGGTTAAGCAAGTTCTTGCATTTTTGCACACCTATATTTTGAGGTAGAATTGTGGGATTTTTTTTTTTATATATATGGGATATGCAACGGGCATTAAGAAGAATCTTTATAGGGAAAGAGAAGAAAATTAATTGTGACCCTAGGCTTGGGAGCCACCAGTCTTTTATGTCCCACAGAGTAAACATTTCTTGGCCTTTATTCTAAAAATGTTACCGTAATGTGAATAATTGTTATGAGGGTAAACAATAACTCTATATTCTCTTCTAGACTAGACTGTGTTTACATGCTGAGTAGGCTCCACAAATGATGTAACGTCACCCCCAGCTGTGCAAAACACCACCTAGCATTCATTCATAAAACCTTTAAATGGTGGTTACTTATATTTAAATAGAAGGATACTGGGGAAGGATCCAAATCAAACTATTCCAACAGAGAACCTTTGGTAATTATAAAGTTGGAAAATATTCAGGAATATTGTATTATGCAAAGATTGTAACGATTTCACTGTTAATCCTTGGCATATGAATTTTAACACAACATGCCCTGGTTCAAACTATATCATGATGTTAAGAGGCATGACCAAGAATCTGAAAATAATACATTTTATGGAAATCCAAAAGGCACATGAAATGTTTAAGTTGAACAAAGCACACCAGTTGTGTTATAGTATCACAGCAAACAAGAAGGTTTAGAACAATGAGGATACAGAGCTGTGACAATATTTTTATCTGCCGTCACATTCTATGTTTCCATAGGAGGAGACTATATTTAAAAGAAGAAAAACTACACCAACAAGAGGACATAGTCTTAAATTAGAGGGGCAAAGGTTTAAAAATAATATCTGGAAGTATTACTTCACTGAGAGGGTAGTGGATGCATGGAATAGGCTTCCAGCTGAAGTGGTAGAGGTTAACACAGTAAAGGAGTTTAAGCATGCATGAGATAGGCATAAGACTTTCCTATCGAAGGCCAGGGACTAATGAAAGTTTTTTAAAAATTGGGCAGACTAGATGGGCCGAAAGGTTCTTATCTGCCGTCACATTCTATGTTTCTATGTTTCTAATATGGGTTTTTTACCATAACTTCTGGAATAAAAGGGAATCATGACATGTCACACATGTCATGTGTCCTTAAGGGGTTAAAGTAATGGATCTTCCTGCTTCAAACAAGAAAGATTTTAGTTGAAATTTAAGGAAAAATTTGTCATTATTCAGTTAATAATAGCAACATTTCAATTAATCTCTCCAGAATGAAAGTCTTGGAGAAATAAAGAATTGAAAAATTACTTTAAATCCCTTTAAAAATATTTGTACCATGACCAATCACTACTACCATAAGTGCCTGACAGCTCGTCGTTAGATTTTATCCCATGTTACAATCAACTTTTATCATTTGATAAACTCCTGGGTTTAAAAACACAGATGTTAAATTTCAAAAATTCCCAGACGAGCTACTTCATGTCAAAAATATGCAATCCTGATAGAATTACATCATCAGAGTGACTCTTTTTTTTAACTGTGTGATCATCCTTTAAAAGGAGAATAAAACACAGAAATAATAAGCATCGTATGAGAATTTTACAAAGCTACTAAATGCAGTAATTTGTCATTGAAACCCATTAATATAAAAAATAGCCATGTATCAGTTAGCCAAAAATGATGTAATCAGCAAAGACAAATGTAACCACATCAATTACCTCCATATAATGCAAAAAGTAGCTAGGGATATCTATACAGATACATGCAAAATATGACAGATATTGTAATAGTCAATGTTTTAAATAAACCACAGATTGTTTTCCAAAACGGAAAAACACATAATAATTGTACAAGGATACTGAAATATTTCCTGCAACCATACAGTTACAAAGTAAAAAACATGATGGATAGATAGATAGATAGACAGACAAGCAGAAAGACAGACAGACAGACAAACAGACAGACAGACAGAGATATAAAATCTTATTTTTAAAATGTATTTTTCAGATAGCAATCGATTGCTAGTATTCTCAGAAAAGTGAAAGATTAAAGAGCTTTGACTACAGTCAAATCAATACTTTGTGTTGCAAATAGTTCTACGATGTGGCTGTTTTTCCGACATTGAGAATACAGGATCAAAACTATTGCTTTAATTAAGTCGCGAAGAGTTTTTATTAAGGGAAACACAAGATATGTTTAATCATTTTGGGCAAGGATTATAATAGATGTGAAGACATTATTTACAACTATCAACACATCAGAACCTGGGAAATATGTGTTAGCTACGGTTCTTGGTAACATATTTCAAACATTTATGGAAATTACAAATGTCTGATATTTATCCTTGGCTGCCAATAAACTGTTAAAGATGTCAACACATTCAAAATCCCACCATTCCAATACTTTTCGACACAACAGGGACCTAAATTTGACATTAAACACTCAAATTTCAGCCATTTGAATTCCATCAAAAAGGGGGTAGTGATCATTTTACATAGAAGTTTGTGTTTATAGTTATATACCGTAAAACAGTGGTCCTAACGTATAAACGGTGGGGCATCTAAGTTATGTGAATAAAATAAAACCATGTATGTTCTGTGTAAAAAAGTCAAAGACATGAGTTACGTCTATTCCTGCATCGACATCCAGAGCATTTCACTCAAATCGGTTATCTCCTGTCTTTCCTAGTAGTTTCTGCCTTCAGAACTTCATGACATCATGAAGTTCTATTTTGTCAAGGTCAGCTCCTTCATATTGTGACTTGATCGAGGCAGAAACTGGACTCTGACTTGCTTCATAACAGTGGTCTTTGCATGCATTTAAAAAGTGTCACAATCCAGTTTCAGCTGTGGTTTTTTGCCCTGAGGTCCATGGCAATGATGATTTTTCAGATTTCCCCCAAAAAACTGTCTAGGAATGATTCAATTGTTTTTTAGATGTGATGGATTGAGTAGTTGATGTCATGAATATCAGTCAAACGCTGTCACATTCTCAACATGGCAGATGTTCTAGCTCAGGACACCCAATTTATGCATCATATATTGATAAATAACCTGCTCTGTTTGTGCTTCATTAACTACCTATTAATGTTCCACACAGACACATTTTTTCATGGGTATTCTACAGGTATCAGTTAGGCATGCAATGGGAAGGGCTTTAAAAAGTCAGCCTTCCCTCTCTTCATTGCTAGTTCATTGTTGAGAACTATAAGGAGTCTCCTGGGTGCTGTGGTTTCATTTCATTGTCTGTTTCCTGTGTGATTTGACTTTATTTCATTGTCTGTTTCCTGTGTTTGAACTGACTCGTTATTTGACCATTTTCTGTCTGCTGGCATTAACAACCCCTGACTTGTTATTTGACTATTGTATTCTGGAGTTCCTGACCTCAGCTTGTTTGTGCTTTTGTTTCATCTTTTCATGTTAAGACCAGCCACTTTTGTATCCATTTGTTTTCTTTGCAATTAAGGATTCACTTTTGATTATCAGGATTATCCTGACCGATGATTATTATGAATTTAAGTATTTTTTAGTGCTTTTAATATGAGTTGTGTGCACTGCACAACGTTTTCCCCATTTCTTTATTTGTGTGGAAATCCAAGAATATAGCTTGCGCCTATTTTGACATCCTAATGTTAATTTTATGGCAGGACAGGAGGCTTCATATTTGCTTTACCTTCTTTACTGAAACCTCCAGCAGCAAAGAAACAGTTAACAGAACTTTTCAAAACAACCAATCAGAACAAAGCAACAGTAGTATAAAACCCCTAAGCAGGCTCTTCCACTTCCTCTTTCTTTGCTGCTGCCTCCAGGTGAGCACTCACCAACTCAGAGTTGTCTCTGCTCTGGGTTGTTTTTTTATCCTACATGCTGCTTGTTTATTTAATCAGTCTATTTGTTAGGTTTGTTTAGGCAGCTTAATTGCTGGTTTTATTTAGGCAGGGTTCTTGCTGGATTTAGCTAGGCAGTCTATTGCTGTGTTTAGCTAGGCAGTCTATTGCTGTGTTTAGCTAGGCAGTCTATTGCTGTGTTTATCCAGGCAGTTTATTCTGTGTTATTTCCTATACCACTTCATGCTATGTAGCTGCTGTATCACTTGTTAACACCTGTTGCTGTATTTAGGCCATTTATCTGATAGATTCTGGATACTGCTCATTGATTTATTGTTATTCTGGGTTACTTTATTCTGTTTTCTCACTCTGCTGTATGGGGAATGGGTGCCCCTGCTATGATGCTTTGGCTCTGCCTGTAATCTGTTCCCCCTCCCCAGGTTCCCCTGCTGGGCTCTGTCGCCCATACCCTTCTCCCTTGTTCCCCACCTGTCCCTGTGGCCCCTGGCCGCTTGCTGAGCAGCCTTTTCTACCGTGGCAGTGCCGCACGATCACCACGCGGTAGGCCGCGCTCTGTTTTTGCAGCCATTTTGTTGGAGCCGCGGCGGCCATTTTTCAGAGCCACATGGGCTCTGTGCGTTGCAAACAGCCAGGTCTCACCCAAGGCCACCCTCCCCTCTCCCTATATCAGGGGAGATAGCCCAGTTTTTCAGCTATCCCTCTACTTACTGTGCCTGTCTCACATGCTGCATATGTAACAGATCCTGGATAGCAGGATCTGTCCCAGGCACGCTCACAACTGCAGCTTACTATGTCTGATGCAATGTGACTAGGTTCTCTATCTTAGCAGTAGACTTGTCACACTTTTTTACTATTACATGTGAATCTCAGATTTAAAGGGACACGTTACTGCTCAAATAAAAATCTTTGTTTAACAAGACTATGCCACATGTGTTATATGCTAATCAAGTCTTTCTCTAAGGTTCAGTGTTTTTCTCATAAAAATTTAAATGGCCTGTTTTTCAGCACTTAGCTCCCCTGCCTAGGATTTGCTGCCCTTCCTGCAAGGGACTTAAATTTTCCACTACACATACAATTCAAAAGTGAATCCTAATATAATACCTGAGTGGTCTGTGAGTCAGCTTCTCGCTATATGGACCCTCCTACCCCTCAGGGGGGCTACTGGCCCCACATTCAGACCTGTTATTATTGGGGGGTGAACCCCCCCCATCCATATTTCTGGGGCTCTACCCGCTACTGGACCATAATAATGGACGTGTGACACCATTGTGGGCTGGGTGACCCCCTCCCTCTGGCAACATGGCTACCTATGAGTACCCTGCTGGCTCTACGGCATCCTGTAAGATTAATGCTGAGGGTGACCCCCTCCTGCTTCCTATATTAATGCTCCGGCAATGTCCTGCTATTATTATACCGAGGGGGTACCCCTCCTGCAGTCTGCACTGCTGGACCTGCAGCATCCGGGTATTCCCATAAAAGAGGGTACCCCTCCCACTGATTGAGCTTCTGTTCTTACAGTGCCCTGCAATACGCAGATACTGAGGGTGACCCCCTCCTGTGGACTGCTCTGCTGGACCTACAGGGTCCCATTATAACCATAATGAGGATGACCCCCTCTCGCTGACTACACTGCTGGGTGTACAGACCTCTATGATACCACACTGAGGGTGACCCCCTCTTACCTACAGCACTGCTGGATCTGCAATGCCCGGTTCTGGTTATATGAGGGTGACCCCCTCCTGCCGTCTACACTGCTGGACTGGCAATGTCTGGTTACTTTATTATACGGCTAACCACTTCGGCACTACTGTACCCACAGTGTCCGATTATGTTCAGACTGAGGGTGACCCCCTCCCCTGCTGGCCTATACTGCATGGTATGCTTGTGCTTGTTGGGTGACCCCCTCTTGCACGCTGGGTGACCCCCAGCTGGCCGCACCACTGTACCTACAGTGTCCAATTATGTTCAGACTGAGGGTGACCCCCTCCCCTGCAGGCCTATACTGCATGGTATGCTTGTGCTTGTTGGGTGACCCCCTCTTGCACGCTGGGTGACCCCCAGCTGGCCGCACCAGGTATCATTCCGACAGTGTTACCTCTATGGCAGTTGTGCAATCACGGCTGAAGGACAAATCTCCCGTACCCAGAAGGTCACTTGGCCTGTCCTCTTGCCGCCCCGCTGACCTCACTGCCAGAAACCATCGGTACCCTACGGGGACACTCCACCGGCCATCCTAGACGCTACACCAAGCACCCCTGGTACTCGTTGGCTAACGGATGGATTCATCAAGAGGATCAGTCTTCATGGCGGAGTCCGGAAAGGACACCGCAAACACCTGACACGGGGTTTGCACTCTATCTGGGACTAACCAGTGGATGTCAGTGACATACGGACACAGATGTTTCCTCGGGACGAACGGCGCGTTACCGCTTGGAAAGCGGAGAAGACTAAATTCCCACTGGGAATGGACCGATATGACTTATAGGTATCGCCTAGTTGGTTTCTACCCCTGAGAACCGCAAAACGGCCCCTGTCCAAGCTGGACATCAAACTGATGGATTTAGCATCCAAGTGCTGGGTCTACTCTCCGGAGTTACCCTCATGTACAAATTGAGCTGACACATCTCTATTCATAGGGTTCCAGCTTAGCTAATCACAGAGGTCTCTCGGACCGTGCCCGGACTCCAGATCAAGGTTGCGGAACCTTGGACCGTTCCATGAGCAATACGCATGACCAAAAGAGGCATCCATTCAGACTCATTCCGCAGTTGCCCTGCTGGGCAAAGGGTGCGGTGGAGTGGACACCCGCCCCATCCCCACGCTACATGCTCCCAGTGCATATGTCGTCTGTTGACACATTTTGAGATGGAGGGCACTCATCCCCTCTGAGAGCTGCTCGGCGTTGACGATTGGTTCTCTCCCTCAAATGCACATGAGAGAAACCCGCATGGATTTTGCCATCAACATGGACATATTGAATCTGACTCACTCCCAGTCAACCCAGTTTCCGGTCTTTCATGGAATATTCGGTCCAGGCGGTGCTCCGCCTCCCGAGGACCAAGATGTCCGTCTTCAAGGAAAATACCAGGTATATACTCTGCAACCCGCGGGTTACACTTAGGGGCCCAACCCGGTTAATTGACCGGTGCCTATTCGCCATTGAAGCCATACCTCCAGGATCCGGTACTATCAGCCGCTCCAACATGGCGCTTTCTCGGTCTTTGGCCTTGTATGACCAAATCATGTGACCTTCGGATGAAGCTCATCTAAAACTTAATTGATGACTCCGGAGGAGGGACTCCTTTACGCCAACTGCATGGAACTACCTGCAGGTTTGTTCAACATTCACAGTATTGCTCGCTACCTTCCGGTATGGACTTCTCACCGGTTGCCCACTATGGACTGCAGTCGGATCTCACATAGGATCGATATCTATAGCTTCTGGACAAGTATTCGTCATTTGTGACAGAATGTATGCGGGACGAGACACTCGTGTGGCGGACGGCTTCACCCGACCATGGAGAGACCCCGATGATTGGTTGCCTCACCCTCCAGGATCTCGAGTACTGGCATGATTACATTCGGTGCGAACCGCCATACGGAGCGGTTCTCCAACTGGCTGCCGGATCCTCGGCGAGGGACGAGTTTTCCAAGCTTGGTCTCCTTCGGGGCATACGCATCCCGTTTACCTACAGGATACTTTGGGTTTTGCTTCAGACCGAATTCCTGGAAGTGTCGTTTCGCCTGGCCAAACCACTTCGGAGGAGTCCTGCGTGCTTTCCTCTTTTTGCTGGAGTTTGCCATGGGAAGGCAATCTACGACTCCCTGTCTCTTAATGTCCCATGGGATCCACAGGGGTAGCCTGCCACGACTGGTGTTTGGGTCCCAATGGCGGTCCTTATCATGGCTGTCCCCATTGTCTGGCTGAGTTGCCCTCTCAGGGTAGGATCGTATGGGGCCATTCACGTCCTATGTCAGCTAGTGGACGACTCATGTGCGTTTTCTCAAGATTCTGGCATTGCTAAGGATCTCTTGGTCTGCAGTCTACCAAGAGGAGTATACCGTACGGGAGCCCTATCTCTCGCTATTCCTCAAGTCTAGTGGTATCGTGTGTTCTGGATTTCATTGAGGAATGACCTGATGACAAGGTGCACCAGTTTTTTCCACTTACGGTTTCCCCCCAGTACATCTTTTATTTCATCGCGTTCTGACGTCATGGTATCGACGTGTCTTCTTCCTTCTTGCCGTTCAGTACATCGGCTTCTGCTCCACACATTTCATTTTTATTCGTCCTCTGTGTCGTACCCCTATTCTCCGGATAGGCCACGGCTCTGTTGACAGATTGTACACGACCATGTAGATCCAGGATCTGGTTCTTTCGTCCGTCTACTCATGGACAGCTGTTTATTTCTGCGTACAGCCGTTTTGGACTGTTTCTGCATCTTCGCTCACCCGTTGGATTTGGTGGATCCTCTCATTGACTGACCTTGAGTTCCTCTGGGACACTTTTGGTTCAGGGTGCTGTCACCTCAACAATTTTGGAAGCTGTTGGGTCCCTTCTGCATTTTCTCTACACCGCTGCTTGGTTTAGGGAATCAGTTTTTCCATTCTCCTTTATTTCAGTCCTCTATCTCATATTGCTTCTGGTTCTACTATTTGGGCGTTAAAATTGCAAATATGAAGCCTCCTGTCCTGCCATAAAATTAGGGATTATTCTAGCCTCGGTGAGGGAATAATCTAAATTTTATTAAAGACAGGAGGCGAATATTTCCCCCCCTTTTTTTTACGTTCCCTCCCTGGATCTGAGTTTTATTCTATTATAAATAATTGGGGATATTGTTATGTTTTGTGAATGCATGGTTTTACATAATAAAGGTTATTTCTAATATTCAGTGATGGTTGTCCGTGTGCGTTTTATTCATCATGTTTGTGTTGTAATTATGTTTTGTCAATGCCTTTTAGCTTAGGTACATACTAGGTCTTCATAAGATCTGTAGACTTTGTTTATTCATCAGGTATTATGATGTGAAAGTGATATTGTATGGATATGACATCTTGCCTTGACAGTTTACTTTCACGATGTTTTCTGTTTTCTTGCAGTGTAATCTGTTTTCTCTCTGGGCTTGACGATTGTTTCTCTGGACGTGTCTGCTACAAGGTGGATTCGTTGGTTTCCTTGCTCTCCTGCTCGACCTCATCAAAGAAAGAGGAAGTGGAAGAGCCTGCTTAGGGGTTTTATACTACTGTTGCTTTGTTCTGATTGGTTGTTTTGAAAAGTTCTGTTAACTGTTTCTTTGCTGCTGGAGGTTTCAGTAAAGAAGGTAAAGCAAATATTCGCCTCCTGTCTTTAATAAAATTTAGATTATTCCCTCACCGAGGCTAGAATAATCCCTAATTATATAAAGCCCAGACTCTGCTCTTAATGAAGTGAGTTGTTCTAGACTTCAGACGAAGTGCTAATGCATGAAACACGTAGAGCTAGTGGTCCAGTTCCCAATTATAATGGTCCTCTTTGTGATTTCTAATTGATGCATTTCAAGAGGACGAAATATAGGTATTGTTTTTTAAAATTATTTTAAGGGTGATGCTATTTTAGTTGGTGTTCCCCATGTGGGGTCTGACCTAC